ATTATGAATCATGCTGCAGTAAACATCCATGCACAGGCTTTTGTTAGGTTGTAAGTTTTCAACTTCTTTGAATAAATACCAAGAAGCACAACTGCTGGATCATATGGTAAGGGTATGCTTACTTTTGTAAGAAAGTGTCAAACTGTCTTCCTAAGTGGTTGTACCATTTTGCATTTCCACCAGCAAAGAATGAGATCCTGTTGCTACACATTTTTGCTGGCAGTTGGTTTTGCCAGTGTTCTAGATTTTGGCAATTCTATTGATAATAGGTGTACAGTGGTATCTCATTTTAATTTGCTTTTCCCATGGATGTTTTGGTCTTCCAACTTTGTTCTTCAACACTGTGTTGGCTATTCTAAGTCTTGTACATATCCATCTTTGTTCTTGCTTAATGATTCTGTACCTTGCTTTACTTATTGCAGGCATGCAACTGCTTGCACTCACGATGTTGCTGTTCATTTGCTAAGTCATGTCCAACTCTTGCAACTCCCATGGACTGCAGCACACCAGGCTTTCCTGTCCTTCACTGTTTCCTGGAGTTTGCCCAAACTCATGTCCATTGAGTCGGTGATGCCATCCAACCATCTCATCCTCTGTCGTCCCCTTCTCCTCCCACCTTCAATCTTTCCCAGCATCAGGGTCTTTTCCCATGAGTTGGTTCTTCACCTCAGGTGGCCAAAGTATTGGAGCTTCAGCTTCAGCATCAGTCCTTCCAATGAATATTCAGGATTGATTTCCTTTAGGATTGGCTGGTTTAATCTCCTTGCTGTCCAAGGGACTCTCAAGAGTCTTCTCTAGCACCACAATTCAAAGGCATCAATTCTTTGGCATGTACCCATGATGAGGTTTATATAATGACCCACAGATATATGCAATACTATTTAAATCTTAAGTTTACTCAGTGAGGGATTAAAAATGCATATTATATGTATATACTACAGCTATGTACAAATTAGATACATATATATGCACAGAAATACATGAATATATAACATGCTAATAATTCTTTGCTTGCAAACTTTAAATTATGTTAATGGAATGTACTAAGTAAATTTGAAATAAATGTTAACGGTTCTCTTTGAAATGTTTTACTTTAGCTACCACCTTTACTCTTTCAATACACATATACTATTGGGTACTGGCATCTACTAAACCATGTATTTCACTTTGTACTTTTGATAGATTAATCTGTTTTGATAAGAGCTGTAAAATTATTTTGTCAATATACTGGAGGCATTGTAAAATGTTAGGATTGACTCAGAATGTCTTTCTTCAGCTGATTTTAGGCTTTCTAAAATAATAGGGTATTTTCAGAAATATTTGTTAGTTTCTCATTAGCAGTAGAAAAGCCCAATTCCTCCACTATATTTTCAAACTTATTTTGAAAATAGGCTTCATTTTTAATGCAACTTTATTTTACATCACTTTAGTATGTGGAACCTCTGGTCCAGACAGGCTTCTCAGCGTTTCACAAATATATATTCATATTTTACCATTTGCCTTTGTTTAGGTAGTTTATTTCCACTTTTTTTCCCCTTACTTAAATCCCAAATGTCAGTCTACGTACAGATCAAGTATACTGACTCCAAGAAGCCTTCTTCATTTCAACAACATTAGCAACTTTACTTTTGAAAAATATTTTTTTCCATATTCAGTAAATTCAGTACCATATTATACGGGCTTACATTTCATGAGAGTTAAGACATGCTCAGAGAAGAAGCTGATATGGGGTTGATTATACACTATTACAGAGGAATTTTGGATTCTCAGTCTCTGGCTAACTTTGAAAATGGAATATGTCCGGGAAAGTGCAGAGATAATATGAAGAAGGCAACTGGAAACCAAAATTAGGTGTATAGTGAGCAATGATCCATCAATAAATGGCTCCAGAAAGAATGAATGGATAAGGGGAACTATATTCTTACTGAGCTACATGTTTTAGCCCAAGGAAGAACAGAAGACAGTATAGCACTGAGTTTGGAATGAGAAAAGATGGATTCAAGTTGTTGCTTTCCTTTGCTAAGTTTTTGGTGCCAATGTTCAAATAAATAAACACTCTAAGTCTCATTTATATTATCTATCAAAGAAAAATAATCATATAAGTCAGAAAAGACAATTAAAAGAAATTGGATAAACTCTAAATTGCTAGAGCAATAGAGTTATTGTTATTGTAATGCATCCTTTAAGTATTAAGTGGGAAATGAATTGAGAAAACCAAAATCATTTAAGGATATCAAATATTTTTAACTAAATATTGTTTAAATCAGGAATTTTTTTGCCTAGCCATTTCATAATGGCACATTTGAAAATATGAATGTGACCTATTTCATCTATTTTCAAATCATAATATAGATTAGAAAACTTGGTAGCAGATTTCCTTGGCCTCATGTAAGAGGGCAGTAAGACATAAAAGGAAAAGAACAAAAACCTTAGGAAATTCTCTAAGAAAAGACATTGTTACTTTATATGGATGGCATAGTTCTGCTATTATTTGATACACAGAAAAGGAAGACAACTCTACTTTGAAATTGTTTAAAAATAATACAACAGTAACATAACACATACAACAATAATGAACAATATAAACAACAAGAACAATACTTTAAGTCTTTACTTATTACTAGGCAGTACATCACCATACTTTACGTATATTTTTACTTATTTATTCCTTACTAAAATTCCATGAGATAGACATTATACTTCCATTTTATAGAGAGTAAACTCATTCTTAGAGGTTAAATAATTTACCCAAGGTCACACAACTTATCTGTGATAATGGAGTGGGAATTTTAAACCTGAATGTATCTATTTATAAAGAATATGTGTTCCAAATATTATAGCAATATTGAAAGAGAAATAACTAGAAAAGTTGGAAGGCTGAAAAAGTTTTATAGCTGTAACCCATAAACTACCCTCTAGATTTGGCTTGTGAAGCTGAAAGAAATATTTTAGTTTTAATAAGGTGACAAGATTTTGAGAGAGAAAGCTGGAGGAAAAGAGCTTTCAAAATACTGAGACTTTAAGTGGTTGGCCCAGTGCCATGGGGGCCTAGGACACAAAGACTGACAGTTNTCTACAAGGTAGGTATCATTCCTATTTTAAGGATGAGAAAATTAACTTATGATACAAATCTAGGCAAACTGGTGTCAGAGGTCATATCCTTCACCATTATATTACATGGATGTTACAGTAAACTAGTATGACAAGAATTTGGCAAATAGTATTTATTCATATTCATTCTGTTATTTCATAAAAAATATTTTCTAAAGTGGCTTGTCTTAAATGGTCACCTAATGAACAGTCATTAGTAGTGTTTGCAATAATGTCACTTATTGACGACTAATGGAAACTACAATGTGAATGGCCTTACTACAGTTTCTTAGAGAAAGTATTAAGAAATGAACTCTCAGTAAAGATCTTATATACTCTAAAATCTATAACTCTTTCACTTATGTAAGTGAAAGATGAAGCTTGTGCATTTCAGGATAGTTGCTGACTTACTGAGTTATTTATGTTTTAATATTCATATAGTACATTTCAAACAGAAGCTTTGATATTATGTAAAGTGAAAAGGCAATTTGTGTAAAAATTTTATTAGGTTTGTTTATTTTTACCCACACTACTTCAAAACAATATCATATGAGTTTGTAATATGCAATGCTTAAAATGGATATGGTATTATTCACTATTATGTGTGGCACAGGTTGATTCCTTATGAAATGTTTTATATATATATATAAAATATCTGACATTATTACCACATTTTGTTGCTGTAGAAAATTTGTATTAAAAGAATAATTTTACATAGATGAATTAACCTAAAATATTTCTTAACCATATTGACCAGAGCAACCTTTCATGACCAGATTCTGGGGAATATTTGTAAATTAGATATATTAAAATTATTTTAAAACAAAATTAAAATTCATTAAAATAAATTTACACATATAAATGGATTTAAATGACTGGAATCTAATAATGCCAAGCATCTGGAGGAAAAGTCAGAGAATCATTTCGAAGTTTTCATTTATCTGAAGAGCACTATCTGGATTGTTGCATTGTTCATATTCAAATAAATATTGACTTTGTGTGTATATAATCATACCATCAATGAGTAATAAATCTTTTTATAGAGTAACTATTACTTAAAATGAAGTGTAAGTTAATATGTGGCCTTCTGAGGTTTACTATACTTTGGCAAAATTAACAAAATATGATATTAAATAAACCATCTTTTGTATTAATATACCATAACACTCTAGAAAATGTTTTGCTATCTTTACAGTGTAAGTTAAATGAAAAGTTTGAAAAACTTAGGCTTTCTTACTCTCAAATACCCTAAGATACAGATAGTTTTTAAATGTTTACATTCTTTTCAGAGTTAAGAATTGCTTTGTAATTCTTGTTAAAACCATGATATATATATATACATATATATAGAGAGAGTTATATTACCAAATTAACAAATGGGTGACGAGTTTTCAAATGTAGTAAATACAAACTGTCATCTATTCAGTGGAAATAGCTTTTAAGAGCATGGTTTTGACAGTATAATGTTATTATCTAAAGTCTGCTATTTAAAGAAAAATTTCCTTCAAAACAAACTTTACTTACAATATATATTAAATTAATGACAAAATACCAAAACACACTACTTTGATATATAAATCCAACTTTTTATAATTAACCTAAACAAACTCTTTTAGAACTAAATGATCAAAGAATTCAATATAATCCATGGGGGGTGGGGGTAGAGGAGTAAATCACTGGGTCACAGAATAGAATTAAAATAAAAACTGATGCTGTTAATTTTAGAAATAATTTAATTCTGTTTATATCAAAAGAAGACATTCAGAGACGAAAAAATTCAAATGGATAGTTTTGGGCAGTTCTGGTTGCTGGCATCCTACCCCTTATCTGTAAAAGAATGCTTACTGGCATTAGTTTCCATCAATTCATTTGTGATTTTGAAATTAATTCTGAAGGAAACCACAACTTACTTGAAGATCCCGCTGAGTGTCTGTGTGCCTGAATTTTTTTTTCTGTCTTCACAGACGAAGCACTTCCACTGGTCATGGAAAAAAGGTCTAAATCCGTGTCTTCTCTGCTTACAAGTCTTGCCTGGGAGCAATGGGAGAGAATGTATACAATCATGAAACAAAATATGGCATTTTCTGAATGCAGCTCACATTACCCCAAATAAACAAACAGGCTCTGTCAAACAACCTTCTTCAAAATGATACCACAATCCTTTATTGCTGCCCAGGCAGAACAAATGCACTATGTCAAAGCATTTTTTGCAAATAAGAGCCGATTTTAAAATTGAGGTTTGCTATTTGAGTCTGTACAACAAAAGAAAACATTTCAGTACAGTAATTTTGATGAAAATCAATCTGAAAGGCAACTGATGAAACTTTAAATAGCTTAACATCACTTATTTACCAAGGATATTATTTAATTCTTAATTGAATGTTAGAAATGTCACATTGGATTATTTTCTGCAATATTCATGTTTTACCACTTATAAAATTCCCTGAAATGCCTTTCATCCCATATTTGTATACTACAAAGCCACGAAAGAGCTCTACTTTCTCACTACAGTCATTATTAATGTAAATACTATATGTTCAGTTTAATTTGGGAGTAAGGGTAGACATATAGAAATTTCAAGATATTTTAAGGACATATGTATTAAGTAATTTATTTCATCTAAAATTACTCTCTGAACTTTTATTACTATCTTGGATTGAACTGAAAAGTTAAAAGAATCACCCCTTGGCTATCAATATTGTTTTACATAATGTCTAATATCATTAAGTAAGGATTTATCAGGATTCAGCCCCTAAATGGGAGAAAATGTCATGATAGAAAGCCTACTCTGAGGCCACTAGCTGGAACTTCACCCAAACCACAGGATTCTTGGAATCCTGTGAGAAAGCATTGTCCTTAATATTCGATGTGAGAAAATTTAGGGTAAAATAAAACCATCAAACCGTCACTGTGGTTACAAAGCTATCCCTATATGATGCGCTACAAAAACTCATGAAACCAGAACCTAAAGATCATCTTCCTTCAAATTCAGATGTCTGCATCCCCCCTCCCACCTTCTCTCATTGTTAAATAAGCAAGTTTGCTATTGGTGAACTCAGAGAAGAAGCCATTCTAGGGCACTAGTCATTTTTTAAAACACACCTGGCTAAGTGATATCATTGTTTTGTCAAAAAAAACCTCTGTAGAAAACTGTTTCAAGTGAAATGACAACTGGCTCACAATTTACACTTACAATTTTTACGATGAAAAATCTTATACACTCTTTCTGGATTTTATTTCATTAGTGCACAAGGGTATGTATTTAATGGTCCCATTACTATAGCTCCATCAATTCTGAGACATCACAAGAACCAATCAGGAATAAAGGAGGACTATCAAAGCAATACCAAGATTTTGGTGACATCAGTTACAAAATAAGAAAAAACATGCTAACCACATAAGGGATCCTTTGCTGACTAAAGAGGCTTTAACTATAAGCCTTGGGATTTTAAAATCAGGTTTTATTTGCTTTAATTTAAGGACATAATTTCACTATGCCTACTTAAAAAGCAGAAATCTCACCCTCCTCCAGACAAGATGATACCTACATGTCAAGAAAATATTTGTGAACATGTCTTCCAAAAATCTTGTTATCATCTAAGCCATTAACATCCAAAAGATTGTTTATTCCAAAACAGAAAACAGTATCAGTTATTAACTAAGCCAGATTATAACAGAATCAAATTTAGAAGTGAAAGTTAACAATAACACACACTTTCACAATGGGGCCACCTCACAGCTTAAATGAAAACCTAGAAAATTCATAGAGGCTAGTTACAGGTCTAGGAGCATATTTGACTCAGCCACATATGTATTTATGTTCAAATTCTATCTGTGAAAACATTGGTTTCAAATTGAATATCATCCTTCCTCTTACTGGTAAAGAATAGAGAAATCATAAAGAAAATATCTTTTCTTCTATGTCACGCAAAATGGATATACTATACATGCAAAATAGAATAAAATTGACCTTGCTTTTAATACTTGTTCTACAAAACTGTATGTTTAATCCCAAAACATTGTAATGTTAAATATTCTTCACAGTTATAACATGATAAACAGTTTTTAGTTTGTGTCAGATCAGAATTTTCTTATGTGCAATGCAATAGCAAATATTTAAATAGTGATTTTGCAAAACTCTTGGTCTTTGTCTTCTGATCAGGTCATGTTTGTAGCCTTATCTACAAAGTTTGTAATATTCTTTTCCCCATATTTTCACAATGAAATGAGTGGTATGAATTCTGGAACATGACTTCTAAGCAAGTGGATCCTGCTTCACCTTCAAACCAAGCGACTTAATTTAAAGTAGAGAATCTCTTCCATTTAATAAAGAACAGTCAGTTCTTTCTTATGATTTTTTCACAAACAGGATTTTATTAAACATTTATTTTAAAATTTTGTATTTTTAGAAGACAAACAGCACACATAAAATAAATACCTATTTACTTATTATGCAGATTTTTTTAGAAAGAGAAATAAAATATCATAAGGTGAAATTCACTTGTAAGCTACTTTTCAGTATTTCTTCATATGTTTTGAATAAGCATATTCAAAAGTTTTTAAAATATTATTTCAAAATTAATCTAACTTCTTTTTGCATTTTGCTTCTTTCACTGTACATTACATCTGTGAAATACAGATCTAGTTCATTTAACTGTTTGAATAATATGCTAATTATTGCAAAATTACTGTAGATGCTATGAACATACCACATCATTGTTTGTATTATTTCTAGACGTAATACAAGTGTTTTAAAAATATTTTTCTCTTTGATTGCAGAAAGCTGAGGTATGCATACCCCTTCATTCATAATACATTGTCATCATTGTGCAAACCCCTCTCATATAATAAGACAGAGGCCTTGTTGTGTAACATATGTGGGCATGGAAGGCACTTCACATGCTATATTTATAGGGCTATAGTTTACATGTAATAAAATGCACAGAACTTAAACATGAAGTTCAACCATTTTCAAAAATTTTCTTTTCGATTTACATCTCCCATAGAAGCTGCAAAATTGTTACTAAGTAAGAGTTACTTGTATAGCCTCCACACAGCTTGTCCAAATGATATCTTGTATAATTCAAGTTCAATTAATAAAAATAGGACATTGACACTGATGCCATACTATTACTAAACCATAGACCTTATTCACCAGTTTTCACATGCACTATTTGTTTTTGGTTTATTTATGCTTCTATGACATTTTATCACATGTATAAATTCATGTAACTACCACCACAATCAGAATAGACAATTATTCCATCTCTCCAAACAACCTCTTTGTTTTCCCTTTAGAGTAATACCTCCCCCTAATCTAATAACTGGCAACCACTAATGTATTCCCCATCACTATAATTACATAGTTTTGAGAATGTTATGTAAATGAAATCATACAGTATACAACATTTTGAAATTGTCTTCTTTCACTTAGTAAAATGCTCTTGAGATCCATGAACATCTTTGTGTATACCATGAGTTTATTCTTGTTTGTTGCTTTTTGTTCCTTTTTGTGTATCTGTTGTATGTATGTACCACCATTTGTTTATCGGATGAGATTTGGGTCATTTCCAATCTTTTCAGCTATCACAAATAAAACTACTATGAACATTTCTGTATAAGTTTTTGATTGAACATAAGTTCATCTCTCTAGAAAAAGTGCTTAGGAGCACAACTGCTGAGTCAAATAAGTATATATTTAACTTTATGAGAAATTGACACCTTTTTTTTTTTTTATAGTGGCTGTACCCTTCTTTAGGACTTCTCTCTGGCTCAGTGGTAAAGAATCTGCCCATCAATGCATGATATGCAGGTTCAATCTCTGGGTTGGGAAGATGCCCTGGAGTAGGAAGTGGCAACCCACTCCAGTATCTTGCCTGAAGAATTCCATGGACAGAGAGAGGCCTGGTGGACTACAGTCCATGGGATCACAAAGAGCTGAACACAACTTATTGACTAAAAGATAACAATTCATGCATATGGTATATGTCTTTGAATTTTTATAAGCAATGTTTGATAGGTTATAATTGTAAGGGCCTTCGACATGTTAATGTTAACATTTGTGATTTAACTCTACTGCAGTACACTTTCTCCTTCTGTTTAATCCTGTTTTTTTCCTCTCTCACAGGAATTGTTCCTGAGAGCCTTCCCCAATAAACACCCTATACTCAAATATCAGAATCCCAGAGTATATTTTCTGGAGAAATTGAACTATGAGTGTCTCCTGCAGGAAAATGCTAGCATTTTGGGAGGATAAGTTTAATAAGCAATGCAATTGTCTTATCTATGACACAGATCTATCTAGATCTATGACATGCCTTCTGATATATATTTGGAAGTATTTATATATATTGATATATATTTGGAAGTATTGTTTGCATTTTTCTCATTCTTGTCTATAATACAATACTTTAATCTTGTTTGGTAGACAGAGATATTATTTATTAGCTTCTCAAAATCCAGCATTTGAATGTTTGACTATGTCTAATTCTGTCCTCAGTTTTGAAGCTCAGTGACAAAGTAGTCTAGATGATATTTATATTTATCCCTATATTAAGAAATAACTCCATCTCTTGGTATGCCTTGTTCTGATATGATGTCAACTGTCAATCTATTGTTCCTTTGTAGATAAACTTTCACTAATTCTTTTATGCTGTCTAATCCAGGGTTCATTTCAAAGATATTATTTTTTATTTTCAGAATTTATAATGGCCTTATTTGCATATCCATTTCCCTCTAATTAAAAGTTGATCATTTTTTGTTTGATTATTTTCTGTTCTTTTATTATGCGTGGTATTTTTATGTCTTTGAGGATCTTATAGTAGCCTTTTAACATTTCAAGATTTTCTTTAGTTATAGCCTGGCCCCAGTTGTACAATTATCTGCACAAGTTTCCTACAAGTAGGGTGTTTTCATTCCCTGACACCTTGCAAGATTTCCACACAACGTGGCCTTCAATTAGCCCAGTATCCTTTTAGCATAAATCCTTGATTCATTCCCATCTTGACTCAAAAAAAAAATGTCTGTTCTACTACTACTGCTTACCTTGTTTTGTGTTCAGCTGTTCTTCTTCAATAATTTTTTAAAGTATTTATCATTGCTATATATTCGTGATACATTCGCGGGTAGTGTGATATAATGGGATATGTAGGAAGATTAATGTCAAAGGGTTAATCTCATAGAACCACTTTGATTAGTAATCTACCCAATCAGTTTTCGTTCATTTTTAGAAGCATAATAATTAAATTAATATCGCTTCCTTTATTGTGGCATTCCTTGGCACTTTATATTCCTGATTTTTGCTCCAACGTGGCTACTCAAAAATCTGTGTGAGAGTGTTAGTCAATAATATGTAGGGTGCTAATAGCCTGAGATACCACTTTTCCTAGGGTAATCTCTATGTCATTCTGCCAGAGGGATTTCTATTAAAATGCCAGAAAATATTTGTTTAGTGATTATTTCAAATATGTACATCCTTCTGTAAATATTTCCATAAGCACATTAATTTTAACTATTGTCCTAATTTTTCTCCTCTTTCAGGAAAACTCCTTGAATGAGTTATTCATGAGAATGATGACTATAACTGCTCTGGATATGATAATATTATTTCCCATTAGAGAATACATTATTTTTCTATACTAAATTCTACATGGTAAGTTAACTTATAATCAGTTTTCTCAGTGAATGTAAAGTTTGAGCAAGGAATCACTAGTTGATATAAATGGAAGGTGTCATAAAGTGAGGGTTATTTGATGCCCTTCATTTTCACATGCCAAGGAGGCCACACACTTTTGTCATTGGTCAGGGTACCCTCTTTTCTGGAAATTTCTGTAAACACTAACATTTCTTGTTTGGGGACTCTATTTCTCCAGATTCCATATTGGCCATTCTCCTTCTGTTAACATAGGCTTCCTCTGATATCATACATTTCAGCTGACATTTGAAATGCACATGAGTTATACTGTCTAGAGTATACATACACTCTGGTCACCATGTTAGAATTTGGTTGCTCCTAACACTCCAACCATTTACACTTTCCTACTTAGAATGGTTGAATACACAACTACTTTTTAATTTTTATCTGGTTTGATTTTTTGAGTCATGAGGGTGCTTTTCTGTTTCCCTCAAGTATCCTCCTTTTAAAATAGTCTAGACAATATTATTGTTATATAATTTCTTGCCCAGAGTATCTTTTTTTTAATTTATATTAGTTGGAGGCTAATTACTTTACAATATTATAGTGGTTTTTGCCATACATTGACATGAATCAGCCATGGATTTACATGTGTTCCCCATCCTGAACCCCCCTCCCACCTCCCTCCCCATCCCATCCCTCTGGGTCATCCCAGAGCACCAGCCCTGAGCACTTGTCTCATGCATCAAACCTGGACATATAGTAGCATCTTGTTATTTTAAAATCTACCAGATAAACTAAGTATTTTAAGGTGACATCATATTTTAAGTCATATTATAAGCCAATAAAACATGGTACTATTTTAATATTTAATATTTTGAGATTATCCCCAAAAGATACAGTTGTGTGGTATTTTCATAATTTATACTACTTATTGACACATCTCAAAGTGCCATCTGTTGAGTACTGTTGTCCACAACATTTTTTCTGAACTTTAAACACATTTCTTACCACAAGCTGAACTCTTCCACCATTAAGTACGTCTGGATCTAACTCAGGCAAGAAGTGACTGCTGCATAGTGACAAAAAGAGAAATCATATTATTATACCAATGGAGAGGAAGACTATGAAAAACGTGCCCAGTGAAAAGTCTGGGAAAAATCAATAATATACAAAATGGAAATAATTATTTTCTTAAATTAGGTGAATGCAAAAGATATATACAAATTTATGTCTTTTCATAGTTACTTTAAAATTCAATTTGACATAAATTTTAAATTTGCCAAACATAAATGCATACACAGAGAAAAAATCTGAAAGTAAAAATAATTATAGCTAATAAATTATAGAAAGGATAAGTATTGTACCACATCTACTTACATATATTACTTATAAGAAAGGCAAAACTTCTTATTTTTAAAATAGCTCTGGTATGTTTAATTCATTATACTAATGCTCACAATTAACTTCTGTTTAAGGCTAGAGCATTGGTATTTGGCTTTTCAAGACCTTCTGTTTTTGAACAAAAAATTTCTTAAAATATTATTACTTATATATTCCTTTATATGTTATGTTTTCAAAAGAGAAAATCCATCAATAATCACCTGTTGCATTATATGTTTAAATATAACTAATTAAGGAGTAACTGATGTTGTTAAATGTATAAGTATCTTAAAAATATATCCTGAAATGTTTTGTTTGTATCTTTCACATTATCTTTACAGATGCTTTTAAATCTCTAAAGAAGACCTCTTTCATCTGGTTAATATAGATGGTAAACTATGAGTTATGCTACATTTGGTTATAGTCCTAAAAATATCTTGTTATGAATTATGCTAAATCAATTAATACCAGCATAAAGTAAACTGTACTTGCATCAATAGGAACACTTAGAAAAATTAAAAAACAACCTCAAATGTTGATTGCTTTATTCCTACTTTCTTTGCTCACAATGAAACAGGATATAACCACCCAGGTTTTGAAATGTTTTAATTTCACTTTTATTTTTCACTTTTCCCCATATTATTAAAGAAATTATATGGATAGAAATGACTACATATGCAGGTTTTTTCATTTGTATATATTATAAAAAAGGTTTAATTTTTATACCTTATAACATTCTGCTATATTAAGTGTTAGACCTCATAACTGTAGGATTTGTTTCTTTGTTACTCATTTAAATAGTTAATACCCACAACCCCTTGAAATATTTCCAAAAGTGTCATCTATATTTAGATTCATATTGGTTTATCTATTTGAAAATGCTTAAATAGCACTTTAAAAAATTGTTTTGTGGATATATGTAGCTACAGTGAAAGTCATAAAAATTTATGACAGCTGTATAGTATGGGAAACTAAATAAAACTCAGTATTCTGTAATAACCTATAAAAGAAAAGGGTTTCCCAGGTGGTTCAGTAGGTAAAGAATCTGCCTTCAATGCAGGAGACCCAGGAGACCTGGGTTTGATCCCTGGGTTGGGAAGATGCTCTGGGTGAGGGCATGGCAACCCACTCCAGTATTCTTGCCTGGAGAATCCCAGGGACAGAGGACCTGGCAGGCCACAGTCCATGGGGTCACAAAGAGTCAGACACGACTGAAGCGATTGAGCACATAAGTGAAAAGAATGTGAAAAAGAATATATATGTGTTCTACACCTGAAGCTAAGATGACATTGTAAATCAACTGTACTTTAATTAAACAAAAAATATTTCAAAAATACTATCTCCAGACTTTTATTCCTTTAAAATTTTGGTTTAGTAGTTATGTACACAAGTGTTTTATGTTTTGTTTGGACTGAATCTTGTTCCCTCAAAATTTGTATGTTCAAATCTTGTTCCCTCAAAATTTATATGTTCAAATCCTAATCCTTAATACCTCAGAAAATTACTATATGAAGACAAGGCCTTGAAAGAGACAATTAAGGTAAAATGAGTTCAAAGAGGTAAGCCGTAATCCAATATAACTGGTGTCCTTGTTCAAAGAGGAGATTAGAACACAGGTAACACAGGTGGAAGGATGGTCATGTGAGGAGCCAGTGAGAAGACAGCCATCTGCAAGCCGAGGAGAGAGACCTCCAGAGAAAGCACACTTGCTGACTCCTTGATCTTGGACTTTCAGCTTCCAACACTGTGAAAAATAGATCTCTGCTCTTTAAGCCATGCAATCTAGTATTTTGTTATGGTAGCCCTAGAAAACTAATACATACATTAATATAACAAAAATTAATTGATTACTTAGTAGGTTTAAGGCACATTTCTTTGCTGCTATGGGACATCAACATTTGATAACCTCAATCTGAGAGCTCACCTCTATCTTGTGAGAAAGAGTGATATCATCTCACTATAAAGAGGAGGGAACTAAAATATTGAGACATCACTGAAAATCAGTTACATGACTCATAAAGTGGCAGACTCAGGGTTGAGTTTAATTTTAACTGCCAAACATACATGATAATAAAAATAACACAAAATAAAATGCCACAATCATCAATACAAGATATCATCTCACTATAAAGAGGAGGGAACTAAAATATTGAGACATCACTGAAAATCAGTTACATGACTCATAAAGTGGCAGACTCAGGGTTGAGTTTAATTTTAACTGCCAAACATAAATGATAATAAAAATAACACAAAATAAAATACCACAATCATCAATACAGATGATACTTATAAACAGTTAATAGACACCATGCATTCTACTTTATAAAGTAGAATCATTTGTGTGGTTCATCATCACCATCAATCATTTGTGTTGATTTTTAAGCATTACAGAAACTAAGTTCTTGAATATTTTATAGTGAAAAACATAGTGATCAAATCTATTCTATATAAGAGGCCATTTATAGTCTGGTAATGTGGTATATTGGCCTTTGGCTATATAAAGTCATGTTTGTTTTAGCATAATTAACCTAGGTTTCACTTTTCAAGATGTGTTTGCAATACAAAAATCTAATTTAAAATGACCTCACCATTTCATATTTCTGGAACCAGTCGTTTCAAGAACCCCAACCTGTGTATGAAGCCACTGGTATGTATATTCTTTACTCCTTTCTAGTTTTTCATTTGCAGTGGTATTATATATAAAGTATTCTTCCTTATCTAGGGAAAAATGTGAAAATATTATTTGTTTTTTAAAGAAATCAAATTTTGACCACACAGTTTAATCTAGGCTAACAATTTTATCACAAGATACAGAAAAACAAGACAGGTCATGGGAGCTAAATCATCTGCAAGAAAAACACTGTCAGTCACTTATAGATTAAGTACTTCTCTTGTTTGAGTTTCAAACCCACCTATTTTGAAAAGCAGAGTTGTTTTAATGAAACCAACACTCTAGAGGGCTTGTTTTTTAGTGTTTTAGTTAGAAAATAGAAATAATTATTTTTGGTAGGCAGAATTTAAAATCTGACTGTTCTCATACAATCTTATCCATATGAAGAATTTATAATTTATATTGAGGATATTCAAAACAGATTTATAATTTTGTATAAAACAAAACTTGGTTTATATAAGCTAGTACAATATGTAAGTTAGGAACATCATTTATATTAGGTTTAGGAAACCTGTGCTAATGCCATTGCAATGATTTCAAAGATGGAGAGGGGAAAGGGTAACAATGAAGATGAGTATGGAAACTATGCAAAAGGAGATATTACACCAGGTGAGAATACAAGGTAACAAATATAAAGGAAAATAAAATAGTTAAAAAAATAAAAAGAAAAATCCAACCTTTATAGCTACACTTAAATATAGTATATGTGTTCATATTATTAAAAAAAAAAAAGGATCTGCAAACATTGCTGCCACATCAATGCCACACACTTGAGTTACAATGAAGAGCTGTTGTTCTATAGCACTTCTCCATAGACTTGATTTTTTAGATGACTTCTTTTTTGGTGCCATCACAATGTTTAGGGACATGTTAGCTTTGTAGGGTTCACTGACAGTACACCAGAGAAGAGGTATCTATTGAAACTAACTCATGGTAATTAAACTCACAAGAAATCTACAATTTAAAATCTGGTATTTAAAATGTCAGTTTATTAATTTGAACTATTCTTTCAATTGGCTTCACCTAGCTTAAAACTCAACATTCAGAAAACTAAGATCATGGCATCCAGTCCCATCACTTCATGGCAAATAGATGGGGGAAAAGTGGAAACAGTGACAGATTTTATTTTCTTGGGCTCCAAAAGCATTGCAGATGTTGACTGCAGCCATAAAATTAAAAGACGCTGACTCCTTGAAAGGAAACCTATGACAAACCTAGACAGCATATTAAAAAGCAGAGACATCACTTTGCTGACAAAGGTCTGTATTTAAAACTATGGTTTTTCCAGTAGTCATGTATGGATGTGAACACTGGACCATAAAGAAGGCTGAGCACCAAAAAATTGATGCTTTCAAATTGTGGTGCTGGAGAAGATGCTTGAGAGTCCCTTGACAGCAAGGAGATCAAACCAATAAATCCTAAAGGAAATCAACCCTGAATATTCCATTGGAAGGACTGGTGGTGAAGCTCTAATACTTTGGCCACCTGATATGAAGAGCCAACTCATTGGAAAAGACTCCTGATTCTGGGAAAGATTGAGGGCAGAAGGGCAAGGGGATGACAGAGGATGAGATGGTTGGATGGCATCACTGACTCGATGAACATGAGTCTGACTAAACTCTGAGAGACAGCCACGGACAGGGAAGCCTGGCGTGCAGGAGTCCATGGGGTTGCAAAGAGTCAGGCACGTCTTAACAGATGAACGATTCTTTCACTATAGATATTCAAACATAGAAAGTCATCTTTTATCTGCATGTTGTTTGGAGGACAAATGAGGCGTGCTGTGAAGCTTATTTTGAATGCTAGGTGCATGGGCAGTGACACATTCACACATGTATACACACTCAGCATCTATTGTTTTGACTATGTTAAGGCGATACATTTATCATGTCTTTTTTTTTTTTCTTAAGATTTGCTGTGGTACTAATGAAATGACTAGTTTTCAGTCCAAAGAGATACAAGGTTCGGTTCTCAGAAAAGCTACAAGTCAAGATGTTTATTTCTCTAAATTACATTACTTAACTTCCTGTTAACTTCTCATGACATCTTGCCTTTCTAAAATGGTCATATCCCTTGTTTCCTGCATGCATGCTAAGTTCCTTCTGTCGTGTCCTACTCTTTGTGACCTTATGGACCATAGCCAGGTTCCTCTGTCCATGGCCTAATCCAGGCATGTATACTGGAGTGGGTTGCCATTTCCTCCTCCAGGGGATCTTCCTGACCCAGGGATGAAACCTTGTATCTGTTGGTAGATTCTTTAGCACCACCTGGGCTTCCTGAATTTAAGCCACTCCCTCCATAGTTGCAGGGATTCCCCGACAGCTCAGTTGGTAAAGAATCCGCCTGCAATGCAGGAGACCCCGGTTTCATTCCTGGGTCAGGAAGATCCCCTGGAGAAGGGATAGGCTACTCACTCCAGTATTCTTGGGCTTCCCTTGTGGCTCAGCTGGTAAAGAATCCGCCTGCAACACGGGAGACCTGGGTTCGATCCCTGGCTTGGGATGATCCCCTGGAGAAGGGAAAGGCTACTCACTTCAGTATTCTGGCCTGGAGAATTCCATGGACCAAACACTCCATGGGGTCACAGAGTCTGACACGACCGAGTGACTTTCATTTTCACTTTCTCCATAGTTGCTGTACTGAAGGAACAATTACTCTGCATTCAAAGGCTGGCCACTGAATTCATGAGCAGAAACCATTTTAATAAATGGCCTTCTTTATACAGAAACTAAAAAAGAGACTCAAACAAAGGGAAGATTTGGGCTTGCCACCCCAGTTACTGCACTAAGCACTTTTCTTTTCCAGCAGAGTCCCAGTGTTTTATCTGCCTTTCTTGGTTGATCAGACCAAATGGTGAACCCATGAGTGCAATGACAGAAAGGAATGACAGAGAGGAATCAGTGACCCTGATAATCAACTGAACCCACAATTGGAACTTTACCTACTCTTGATATGTAGCAAGTGTACTTTTAGCTAAAAATAATCTTTGCGTCTTTCTGCTTTTGAAAATAGGGACATATACTTGCAATAGCCCCCTTTTAAAGTGCTCATTCTGAAAAGTTTTCCTCAATTCTGCAATAAGACTCCATAAACCCTAAGTGGTTTTACATCAGACTCAGTCCAGTTTCTCAACAATCATTCCCGAGTAAAGATTACAGATTTCACTGTAAGAGTCCAACTCATATTCTTTTAACCTGAAGGCATGGATTGGTAGAGTGGCATGAATTCAGTGTAAAAAGAGAACTAGCATAGTGGTGACATTGGCTGGATAGATCCAAGCATACTGCCATTCAAATGCTGCAGGAAATGACTCTGGCAAATGACTTTTGCTATACCATTTCAGGATTACCCCTGTCACTGAGGAGAAAGCAGGATTTACTTCGTGAAACTTGATTTTAGCATTTTGTTTAGGAAGAATAAGGGTGACCAGGTTCACTTACAGACCTTTATCATTTTCTAGTTCAGTTCAGTTGCTCAGTCGTGTCTGACTCTTTACGACCCCATGGACTGCAGCACGCCAGGCTTTCCTGTCCATCACCAACTCCCAGAGCTTGCTCAAACTCATGTCCATCAAGTCAGTGATACCATCCAACCATCTTATCCTCTGTCGTCCCCTTCTCCTCCTGCCTTCAATCTTTCCCAGCATCAGGGTCTTTTCAAATGAGTCAGTTTGAGTTGGAGTACTGGAGTTTCAGCTTTAGCAATCAGTCCCTTCCAATGAGTATTTAGGACTGATTTCCTTTAGGATGGACTGGTTGGATCTCCTTGCAGTCCAAGGGACTCTCAAGAATCTTCTCCAACACCACAGTTCAAAAGCATCAATTCTTCGGNATGTTTTTATGGCATTTTTCTGGCTAGACTTCACAATAAATCCTTTTGATTTTAGAAGAAACACCTTTCCGCCTGCAAAATGCAATCTACTACCTACCTACTGTTCTTTCCTATTTTTCTAGGTCCTTGTTAATTTCTTGTACCATCATCCTGAGACAAAAGTTCTCTTTTTGATCCATGCTCTCCCCTAGTTACTACAGTCTATATATGCTGTTTTTACTTCAGGACACACATTCTATTAATTTTATTTAAAATTGTTAAACTATTTATTTATAAATTGTTAAACTCTTTTACTATAAAAATAACACATTTTCACAACAGTTAACCTTAAAAATACTGAAAAGTAAAAAGTCAAAGAAAAGAAAATCTACAAAAAGCCCACTATTCAAAGCTAACCACTGAATAACACTTTTAATGCATTTCTTTGTATTTCTTTTTTTCATAGATTTGTTTTATAGAATTTTTTCCATTAGTACTATAACAAATGAATTCTATGTAATGGAAATCTAAACCTGAAAGTGCTTTTAGGGGTTATACCCTATGATGTACCAACTTGTTACATGAAGGTTTTTAATTATTCTATTTAATCCATTTTTAAGGTGGAATTAAAGATAACATGTCTGAATTTATGAATATTTTGAGGAACATGGTATAATCTATATCGTCAAGTAGTTTACAAAACCTTTACCAATTTACCACAAACTATATGAGCACCAAAGAATTGATACTTTTGAACTGTGGTTGGAGAAGACTCTTGAGAGTCCCTTGGACTGCAAGGAGATCCAACCAGTCCATCCTAAAGGATATCAGTCCTGGGTGTTCATTGGAAGGACTGATGTTACAGCTGAAACTCCAATTCTTTGGCCACTTGATGCGAAGAGCTGACTCATTTGAGAAGACCCTGATGCTGGGAAAGATTGAGGGCAGGAGGAGAAGGGGACGACAGAGGATGAGATGGCTGGATGGCATCACCTACTCAATAGAAATGGGTTTGGGTGGACTCTGGTATTTGGTGATGGACAGGGAGGCCTGGCATGCTGTGGTTCATGGGGTCTCAAAGAGTCGGACACAACTGAGCGACTGAACTGAACTGAACTGATAGGAGGTTAATCATTTCATTAAGTCTCTAGTCAGCATTGGGATATTACGTATTTTAAAGCTGTTGATACTTTGATAAAAATATTGTCTAATACAGTCTTAATCTATATATTTCTAC